CCCCCCCCCCCGACCATGTTGTGGAGTTCTTCTCGGAGCTCTCGCACACATCACATGCGTGCACACCACGCTGCGCCTGTGCTTGGCCTCGAGACGCAGCTATGCCGGCCGTGGATGTGTGTGACCTGGCGGGAGGCAGGGAGGTTTGGGCAGAGCCTAGTGCGGGCTGTGACGTGGGCACACCCTGTGTGACTTGGCGAATTGTGTAGGGTGCTGCGTGACAGCTGTGATGGTCTGGGCGGCCCCCGGCTCCCAGGGCTGGTGGGGATTGGAGTTTAGGGGTCCTTGCGGTGGCAGCCAGGTTCTTCTTGTTTTTGGTTTTTTGAGACAGGGTTTCACTGCGTAGCCCAGGCTGGCCTCAAACTTGTGGCGATCCTCCTGCCTCAGTCTCCCGATTGTTGGGATTACAGCTGTGCACCACAAAGCTTGGCTGCCTTTGTTCACTTAAAAAGATTTTTTTCTTTTTTGCAGTACTGGGGATTCAAGCTAAGGCCTTTAGGCTGAGCTGTAGCCCCAGCTCTTCTTGAAAAAAAATTATTATTGTTTTTTATTTTTGTGTTTTGGTACCCGAGATTGAACTCGGACCTTGTGCTTGAGAGGCAGGCAGCAAAACCATTGCGCTAAATTCCTGGCCCTTATTCTTGTTTTTGATACAGGGTGTCACTGTTACATTGCCCACACCAGCCTCGACCTTGAGCTCCTCCTGCCTCAGCCTCTCAGAACCCTGGGATTACAGGCATATGCCACCAGGCCTAGCTTCCTTTCCTCTTTTAAGAATTAGGTGACTTTTTTTCTTCTTGGTATCTAAGACTTCATTTCATCAGGAAGACTAAATATTTAAATAATGTATGTTGGGCAAAACCTCAGCCTTTTTTTTTAAATGGGTTTTGACCTCTAAAACCCAGATGGTCTTTGTGGCTCTCTACCTTACATACCGCAGGTCTGCCATTTCTTCCAGTTGGAGTTTGTGGTGCGTAAGTTGTCCGGTTTGGTTTGTTCTGTTCTGCCTTTAGTGCCCGCCCTTGTTTCCTGAGGTCTCTACCGACATCAGCAAGGCTCTTGCAGTCCTGACCTAGTGTCATGCGCAGACCTGGAATTCACGTCCCTTACACTATTTGGTTTTCCCTTTCTAGCCCCTTGGTTCTGGGACAGTGACTCCCCAGGCTGCCATAGCTCCTGGCAGAGGTTTGTTAATTGGCTTAGTGAGCGTGGCTCCCGGAGTTGGCATGGGGCACGGAAGAGCCTTTGCCTACTGGCTCAGCGTGTGTCAAGTCCCCCTCCCTGGGATGGGTGGGCCAACTCTGGCGTCCTAAATCATCATCCCCTCCCCATGTGCGAGCTCCACTGCCCAGGGCAGGTCTTTCCGTCACTTTCCTGGTGTTGGACACAAAACCCAACACCCACAGCTTCGCTGGAGAGGCTCAGAGTCTGAAGGGATTCAGTCCATGGTTGGCTGGCTCCAAGGCAGGAAGAGTGCAATGGGTCACAGGTGCTCAGTTCACGGTGTCCAGGCAGCAGAGCAGGGGAACGTGCCAGAGAGGAAGGGGCAGGGAACATAGTGAACCCAAGGCCACCCACCCCGTGGCCCACCGGACACACTAGAAGTGAGCTGCACCAATCTCCGGGGGACATCAGGGCCCTCCAAGTTGACCTGCACCCCGGCCAGCATAGCAGGTTCCCCCGTGCCTCCGCCTGGTGTTTGTGGGCAGAGGGAGAACGTGCCTTCCTCTGGGAAAAGGAGGGCCAAAATGCTTCGAGTTGGGTACACTGCCGGGCTCTGGGAAGGTGTGGCCCAGGTCACTGTCGGGGTGCAGCTCCAGGCTCAGACCTCTCCCTCATGAGTCTTTCCTAGGAGAGGGGCCCTGTGCCAGAGCCCTGCGGGTTCCCCCGGGTCAGGACTGGGTTCCGTCCTGAGAGACTGGCAGGGTCAGCTACCTCTTCCCTGGGTTCTCTGGAGACCCCAGAGCTCCATGTATGGGGTCTGTGCCAGTACAAACCCCTCGTGCATTCATCTAAGTAACATTTTTAAGGAAAGGGGAGTTTTTCAGAGCCCAGCGAGAGAGTGGGTGTTATGCGTCTTTGGTGCTCTCATCCCTGCCCTTGCCTGTTACCCATAGGTGCTGGGAGGGTGTTTTGCACTTGGGGGAGGCGGTTTGAGTAGCAATAGGAAGTGTTTGCGCAGCCCTTCCATGTCCTCGGACCTACTGCTCTGCTGACGGTTTCTCTGGTTTTGCTGAAACAGGGTCTCAGTAGGTAGTGCAGGCTGGCCTCGAACTCAGATCTGTAGCTCAGGCTGGCCCCAAACTTGCCACCATCCTCCTGCCTCAACCTCTTGAATGCTGGGATGAAGCTGTGTGCTGCCATGCCTGGCTGTGACTGATCTTTACAGACAGAGTGATACTGGCTGGGCCGTAGGGTGCCCCCAGGAGGGATGGGGTGCAGGCGCAGTCCTGGGGTGGGGGCACTGGGCCCCAGACTCGGATCTCTTCTTCCAGGGCATGTGCCCCTTGGCTTCCTTCCTGTTTTGTTAGAACCCATCTGCTTGTCTTGTGCCTTTTGATTTGTTTTAGTTTTTTTGAGACAGGGTCTCACTATGTAGTTGAGACTGAACTGGAACTCACTATGTAGCCCACGCTGGTCTTGAACTCACAGTGATCCTCCTGCCTCAGCCTCCCGAGTGCTGGGATTACAGGCAAGCGCCACCACACCCAGCCTCGAGTGGGTTTCTGTACACAGCAGATACCACGCTCGCTCATTGTTAGGAGACTCCTGGCCCGGGATGCAGTGCAGGCCGCCAGATGCTGGGCCCTCCTTACGCTGGCTCCCGAGCCCCACGTCTGCTTACCACACCTGTGACTTCTCAGGAAGGTCCCGGCAGCCGTCATACTCCTGGTGGGGAGCTCGGGGCTCCCAGAAGTCTGATTTCCATGGGAAATCTCGGATCAGGCCAGTGGCGTGCGTAACAGTTCACTGTGACCATTCCTGAGAGCCGACCCCGCTCACTGGTGAATAATGGTGAATAATGGTGAATAACGGTGAAAATGCCATCCTGTGGCTGTCACAGGTGCACGGGGCCCAGGCGGCCCCCTGGTGCAGCCCGGGACGAGGTGTCCACTCGGGTCCCGGCTGACTGGAATCCATGTTCCCTGCTGTGTCAGCAGGGCAGCCTTCAGTGACACTGGCATTACTTAAAACGGAGCTCCCGTGTGAGGGCGGACATGGAGGTCCCCCGGCGTGGCTGCATGCACTGCAGTGGCTCATCAGAGGTGGCCGAGCTGACCCGTGGAGACAGGCAGGCGTTTGGGGCTGATGCGGGAGGAGAGCTTGGGGTGCCACAGAGTGCGGTCTGGGGAGGTTGAGAGAGCGCCGGGCCTCTGGTGACAGCACCGGTCAGGCACTGTGTGCGTTTCCCTGGCTCTGGGGATTGAACCCAGGGCCTTCACACCAAGCCACCTTCCCAGCCCCCTTTTTTAAATTTTGAGTCAGGGTCTTTTAAGTTGTCCAGGCTGGCCCTGATCTTGCATCTTCCTGTCTCAGCCTCCTGGTTTTACAGGTGTGCTCTGCTGAGTCTGTCTCTGTTTCATGTGAGTTGCAGGCACTGCCTGTTTTCTTGGGTCCCTCACGACCACTTCCAGCCGAGGAACTTACAGCCCTCAAGCGTGGGCGCTGTGTCCTCAAGTTGGGGGAGACGGTGATCAGGACCTGAGGGGGGAGTGAGGAATAAAAGTCCCCTCTGTCTTTAAAATTTGAGGTGACTTCCAGATTTGCATCCCTGATCTGAGAATCTACTGTCCAAAATGCTCCAAGATCTGAAACTGGGATGCTCACAAAATTTCAAATTTTGGGGCATCTTAGATTTTGAATTTTAGGATCAATCAATAAAGTCTGCATCAGGGTTCCCAAATTGGAAACATTCAAAACCTGAGCCACTGGCAGGAGTTTGTGATGAGGACGCTCAGCCTGGATTTGTATTTGGTAGGGAACAGGATTCCTGGCCGCAGGAGGGGAGGAAATGAGGAGCTGGGGGAGGGCACTTGTTTGTGTGACAGCCACACTGTGTGTGTGTGTGTGTGTGTGTGTGTGTGTGTGTGTGTGTGTGAGAGTGTGAGACTTTGAACCCACCATGAGGTGCAGAGCGGACTGGTAGCTTAGGGTCAGCCTGAAGTTGGGACTTTCCAGCGGGATGGAGCCAGTGTGTTTGGAGCCCCGGTGGGTTAGGCTCCTGGGGCCGCTGCACCCTCTCAGGATGATTCTCCTTTCTTTCCTCTGAGTAATTTGGGGCCATTCCCACGCTGGGGACACTATGGACCTGCTGTGCCTTTGTCTCCCGTGCCTTGTGTGTCCTGGGGTGCTCTGTCTTGCGCGTGCCTCCCCAGTTCAGCTGCGAGCTGCCAGGACTGTGTTGTGCACACGTGTGTGTCCCCTGCTGGGTCTGGCCTGCTCTCACCTTCCTTTGAGACCAGCCTGGCCTAGTCCCATCTGGGCCAGACTCTGCCAGGTCTCAGGAGCTGCCTTGGTTTGGAAATTGCCCATCCCCTCTGTGCACTGGACTGGAGAAGATGGAGAATAAATTCTGTTGTGATGCATAATTCCAGACCTCAGGCTCAGCATGGCAGTGCAAAAAACATCTTGCAAGGCCAGGGGCTTAACTCAGTGGTTCTGCTGCCTGCCTCACAAGCACAAGAACCCGAGTTCGATCTCCGGTACCAAAAAAAAAAAAATCTTACAAAGATTCGAAGAAGGAACAGCAGAGTGCACTGGTCACCAGGCCCCAGGCCGGTGGCCCTGTTTTATCCTCACTCTGCCGACCCTTCCTGATCTCAGGGTTCTGTAGCAGGCAGGGTGGGGGACAGAGGCAAAGTTTCCTGCATCCCCAGGGCCCCAAAGTAACAGAATGGGACTTGTGGCTCTGCGGAAGCTCCATGTACTTCTGTACATGGAAACTACTTTATGGGTTCAAAGTGGGACCCCGTGTGACACCGGGGTGGATCTGAGAGTGGAACAGAGGCCCAGAGAAGTGCTGGGACCTGCCCATGGCCACCCAGCCAGATGGGCAGAGCCCTGGTGGGCTGGCACACTTGAGGGTGGCCAGGGATGGCACCCCACTCCCCCTGTAGCTCCCGTGGCTGTGCTAGGATTGTCCCTGCGATGGCCTCGTTTCCAAGTGTCCCCATTGCGTCCTCTCTGCTGGGGCAGGACCAGCTCACTGTGCCTCGTGGATGCCGGGCCGGTGACTTCCACGTGGTCCCAGCCCTCAGCTACACTGTCAGAGCCACGAGGACGCAGGAGCATGCGGTTCACAGGGGGGTTGAGGTGGATGGTCAGGTGGGCGTTCAGTTTGTCCTGAAAGAAGCGGATGCAGAGCAGAACCTGAACTCAGGACTGTCACGCCTGGCCTGGAAGCTCGCATGTGAATGCGTGAGGCCCTTTGCAGGTTTCTCCCCTCCATCCCTGGAGACCAGCTTCAATTCCAGGCTGGTGAGAATGCTTTTCACTGCTCTTGCTTCTGCTCGTTCTCATGGGGGTCCGGCATGGCTGGGTGCGCCCTGAAAAGTCTGTCTTCTGAGGACCCTGCCCCCAAGGTTCCCAACTGGGCTGGTGGAGCTGCTGCTGATGGAGTAGTTGGACCTGGGTTCGTTCTTGTTATTTTGGTACCGGGGATTGAACCCTGGGCCTCACAAACGCCAAACGCGCTCTGCCGCTGAGCTGCGCATCCAGCCTTGCAGTGTGGCTCAGGACTTCTGTCTCCCTCTGTCTTGTGTCCCAAGGGCAGAGTCGTCTTGGGTCCAGTCTGCCCTTTCTCAAGGAGGCAGGGAGTCTGGAGATGCAGGAAGTGTTGCTGCCTCTGGGAGGCTGAGGTGAGAGGATGGTAGGCTGGAACCCAGCAATTTAGTTCCTTTCTTTTTTTTTTTTTGGTACTGGGGATCGAACTCAGGTCCTTGCGCTTGCAAGGCAGGTGCTGGAACCACTGAGCTAAATCCCCGGCCCAGCAACTTAGTTTCTTAGAGAGACCCTGGCTGAAAATAATAAAAAGGGAGCTCAGTGCAAAGGCCCTGAGTTCAGTCCTCGGCGCCAAAAGAGAAGAAAAAAGGTATCGTTGTTGGGGCTGCTGACACACTCACGTTCCTTTTCTTTTCTTCCAGCCTGCAAGTATTCCTGCCACAAGAAATGTGAGGCCCAGGTGAGCATTCCGTGCTTCCCGTGGGACTTTTGCAGCGAGCTGGCTGCTGCTGAGTGATACGTGGAGAAAGGGGGCTCCTTGGATGGCAGCCACGGAAAGTCAGGAATGAGCCCCAGAGCTTTGAAATCCACGTTTTCATTACAGAAAGTAATTCTGAAGAATTTGGTTTCAGATCAGATTTCGACTGCTTTCCCGGGCTGCTTCTCGGTGACAGGTGATCCCTGGTTTCTCCTTGCCTGGCAGCCACTCCCTGGGCTGCTGGGTGGGAATGGAGGGGCGTGGGTGCAGGCTGGGCCTATAGGGAAACCTTGGCTCAGGTGGGAGCTGGGTGTGGTGGCCGGGGTGGAACAGAGGTGGTGACGTGGCCTGCGTGTGGCTGTGAGCTTTGATTGCTGAGTGGTCCCCCTGCTGCGCTGGGCTGTTCTGGGTTTAGACTCTGAAGAATGGGTTTTGCGGGGCCCTGGGGCAGAGCTTGTGGTTCCCCCTATTCTCCAAGTTTCCCATATACAGGGGGTGATCAAAAGAAGTGAATGTTTAAATTTTAAAAATGTATTATAGTAACGGACCCACTGCCATGAATCCCCTTAAATCCTCCTGCTCGCTTCAACAAAGACACTCATCCCACTGATCTGGCTGCTTTCTGCAGCCGCTCTCGAGTCCTCTTTCCTGAGGGTCTTTACGAGGTGTGATCCAAAATCTGATGACTGCTGCCGCCCGGCACCATCCAGCAGAACAGCAGGTCATAAAAACATGTTGTAGTGTCCTCGTCCGCCTTCTTCACTGGATCTGGCACCGTGTGATGTCTGGTTCTTCCTCAAAGTCAAAGTGACTATGAAAGGGAAATGTTTTGCATGGGTTTGGGGCATCGAGGCAGCCAGGACAGCGCAGCTAAAGACCCTCAGGAAAGAGCACTGCAGAGCTGCTGCAGAAAAGTGGCACGGACGAAGGGATGAGTAAGTTCAAGGCGAGAGGAGTATTGGGAAGAGGATTTGTGGCAATCTGTCTTTTATTTTTTTGTTTAAAAACACATGAATTTAAACACTGCCATTGCCTTCAATCACACTGCATCTGCTGTGGATCTGTGGCGGGTCTCTGCTGAGCCGCAGGCCCCGTGGGCTGAGGAGGCCCAGGGACTTGGGATTTTGTAGCTGTTGTAGATCTCAGGAGCCTGAGTACCCCACCCTGGCCTCGTTCTCCTAGCTGAGGCTGTGCTGGAGACACAGGTTTTGTGTGTGTGTGTGTGTGTGTGTGTGTTTGTACATGGGAACCAGAGGGTGGGTTTTCTCCTCCCTGTCTACCATCTGCTCACGCAAACCCACGTGCACATACACAGTGCACCCACACATGCACACGTAGACACACACGTGCCTCTCGTACCCACACGCAGACCCACACACAGTGGGGAGCGGCAGACGGTCTGGCCCGTCTCTCTCCAGACACTGTGGGCCCTGCCTCTCTGTGGGGACTTCCCAGCTGCATGCAGCTGGCCCTGGCCAGCCTAGTTCTCCCCACCCCTCTCTTTCCGGAGGTCATGTGGCCACCTCTCCAGGCTCCATGGGCTGAGGGAGCAGTTCTGCCCTCCTCTTTGTGCACCCCAGGCTTCCCCTTTCCAGTAGGCAGATCTTTCTGTCCCCCCACAGCAGGCGGGGCTGGTCCCCAGTGAGGTTTATTTCAGGGCTCTGTCCTGCAGATGGGCTCCTCGCCAGGTGCTGCACCCTGTTATTCTAAGGGGTCCTGTCCACACAGGGCTTCTGAGGGGCGGTGAGTAGGGTGTCGCCCCACCTTGGGTTGCGGCTCAGACTTGCAGGTCTTCTTCCCTCAAGGAGTCCAGCGGTGCCCCTCGCCTGCCCTGGGAGTCTCTGGTGGCAGTCCTGTCCTCGTAGCTTGTTGTGGTCACTGATGTGGCTGGGAGAAGGGGTGAGCTGCTGTCCTGTCCTGTCTCTGCCCTGTGTCCCCCAACTTACAGAAACAGCCTGCCCTTGTCTGTGCCCTTCTGGCGAGTCGGGGGCTGAACTCTCAGGTTCCCCACATTCGCAAAGCCTGAACAGTCTCTGCCAGCTCCCTTTCTCCCCACCGTGGTTGTCACGGCGCTGAGGGATAAACCACAGCTCCTATCAGATGCTGGTGAGGAAGGTATCATGTTCTTGCCTTTTGATAGCATAGCTTAGACTGGCAGGGGAGAAAGTGCTGGCAGGAACAAAGTGCCTTCTCATTCCTAAAATGTCCTGCGGCACTGTATGGACTCCCAGGGCTGAGGTTCTCAGCGGAGCCAGGCAGGGTGGAGTGGGGTGTGGTTTGTCCACACTGCTGACGGTGGCCCCGTGGGTTTGGGGCTCTTTAGGACGCTGCATATGTACATCGTGGGCTCGGGATCACCCTGTGTGGTTGCTGGTGGGAACGTGGGCTGGGCTCTTGGGCACCCAGCGCCTTTGCTGACAGGTCATGGCCCCAACTCTGACCCCCTCACTGGGGACCCCATCTGTGTGGGTGGAGAGGACCGCTGCTGTCACTGGTCTGTGCCGTCCGTGTGAGGCCTGTGGTGTCCCCGGGGAAGGGGGTCACTGGTGGCGGGGTGGGCAGGGAAACAGTCACAGCTGAGGCAGTGCCACCCCCTGTGTCCAGGTCACCGTCTCCCTGAGCCCCTGGACAGTGCAGCTACCCGGCTCTGTGGGCTGACAGGCGGAGGCTGGGCTCTGCTGTTCCAGGGACCCTGCCGAGACCAGAGCCCTGCATCCTCCCTGTGTGTGGGTTGGGCCTCGTGCACCCAGCGTGGCACCATTGGGTGGGGGTCCCTGTCGGGGATCAGGCCAAGCAAGTGGAGCCCTCACTGCAAAGGGACCACACGGACCGGAAGCTGGGCCCTGGTGACAGCGAGTCTGTGGGCGCTGGTGGACACAGGTGCGGCCCGCAAGACGTGGATGGGTCTGGGCTGAGGTGTTCGGTCAGGGCAGCCCCCGTGAGCCTCGGGCTCTGCGTGTGGGGAAGGGCACATCTTAGGGGTGCCGAAACATTACGCGGGTTCTGGGGGTCGGTGTCCGTGCTGCGCTGCGTGGGCCTTGTGACTGGTGTCTTCCTGCCCCTGACTCACTGGCTCAGGGAAAGGAGAAGTGGCAGAAGCAGCAGCTTTCGGAAGGCAGATGCTGCTGAGGGGAAGGGAAAGGAGAAGCCGGATGCTGTGCCGCGGAGCGGGGCCAGTGCGGGGCCTGTGACCTGGGAACCCTGCCCTTGCCACTTCTGACCCCGGGCACTGGCTTCTTCCACTTCTGCCTGTGCCTTGGCTCCACTGACCTTAGAGTGGAGCTCGGCGCCTGGCCGGGTGTTTGCCTTGGTGCCTGTGGGAGCTCGGGAAGCTGCCTGCTTCAGGGCCTTTGCCTCCCTGGCCCATCTGTGGCCCTGGAGGCCCGTCCTGTCCCTCTCACATCAGTGCCAGCTTCTCCAGGATGTCCTGCTGGGCCCCTGTTGCTGTGTCCAGAGCCACCGTCCCTGAGGCCCTGGAACCCCACGGTGAGTCCTGCGGCTCTGTTCAGTGGTCCTTTCAGCTTTGCAGTGGACCCATATGACTGCCCAACTCAGCCCTGCTGTGGGACAGCAGCTGTGCCTGGGCAGGGTTAACCGGGTGCTCGGGGTGGGAGCCTGCCCCTGCCTGGCATGGAAATGGGGGGCTTTTTTCAGATGGGCGCCGATCTGACCAAATGTGCCCCAAATGTGCCAGTAAGAAAGGGCTGCCAGTGTTCTCAGAGAAACCGTGCCCCATGTGCCTGGCGGGCTGCTGTGCTCTGTGTGTCCTGCCCTCCTGGTCCCATGCATGTCTGTGGCTGTCTGCAGTTGTGAGGGTGAGACAGGGGTCCCGGTGTATTGAGTGTAGCTCGAGTGTCACACTCCACCACCACCACCCTGGGACAGTGCAGTGCCCTCAGCTGCCACTGGCCTCCGCTGTCGCCTTGAGATGCCACCACTGCAGGACATTGGGCTAGCCGGCAGACACCACAGGTTATTGCTGCAGATCTCTGCAGCCACTGTGTGTTACCGCCAGCTAGTCCTGGCTCTCTGGTTAGGGCGCTGCAAATGGTCCTCATCAGCCCCTGACCTCTGCTGTCAGGCTTTGGGCTGTTTCAAAGATAACAGGTCCTGGTGAGACCAACACAGCACTGTGTCCTCCCAGACTAACCTGAGGTATAAGGGAGTCCTGCTTATATAGCTGCTGCAGGCCTGTGATTGGTCTACATTGGAGCCTGCTGATTGGTCCAGGTCTGAGTTTGTGATTGGTCTGTATTTGAACCCATCATCGGTCCATACTCTGCAGAGGGAGGGCAGGCCTGTTTGTCTGTTGGTTCCCTGCCACCACGCCCCTCCCGGGGCCCTGCTCTTGCCATCCAGGAGGAGTCTCGTCCAGGCTGCGAGCTCTGCCTGTGCTTGTCTGGTGTTCCTCATCCCAGTTACCACCTTGCTCTAAGGATGGAGCCTTTTTTTTTTTTTAATGAACCCAGGACCTTCACAGTGATCTACACCCCCAGCCCTTTCTTATTTTTATTTTGAGACAGCATCTTACTAAGTTGCCCAGGCTGGACTTGAACTTGAGATCCTCCTGCCTCTGCTCCCAGAGTGCTGGGATGATGGGGCATGACACCAGGCCTGGCTGGGCAGTTGATTTTTTTTTTTTTTTTTTTTTT